GCAAAGTGAGTCAGTTTATATTAAATGGTCTAAAACTGTCCCCAGCAGCGCGATGGATCGAACCCAGAATTTCATTACCATGAAGCAACAGTGCTAACCACTGTGTCACTGTGCAGTCTGTGCTCCTTTATGTGTGGAGTTTGTATGCTCAGAGTCTCTCTGGACACACCATCTCTTTCCTACTGTCCAAACACAAGCATGTTAGGTTACAGTATTGAGCCCTACTCTAAAAGACATTGTCACAGATTGAACTCTGCCTCTGTGGCTGAATTTAAAAAATAAGTGTTTAAAGTTGAAGCTTTTAACGTAATAATAGCGTTTTCTTGTGAGATACAGAACATGACGTCACAAGGTTGATTATTTTGTGTTTGCTAACTAATCACATACTGGATAAAACTCAGAGACTAAAACTAAAACAGTTTAAGGGCGTCACTTTTCTGTTGCCCCTGGCTGCTGCGATCACTTTTCTTTTTTTAAGCTACATGCACTCAAATGGGAGAATCCACCTTTTGGTAATGCACTGGTTTGTCCATTGTTGGGTTGTGTATACAGACTGAGTGACATAATCAGCTGGCAGAGCAGGGCGGTGCAAAAGTGACCCTGCTTTTCATTTTAGTTTCCATGATTTCCACAAAAACTAATAGACTAATGTAAGTCTATTGGCAGCAACCAACAAATTGACTTAGTGAAGTAATATTCTGTACTGCCACATGATGGCGCCACAAATGCTCTACTGCAAACACTCATTTTTTAAAATCCAGCTTCACGGATAGTGTTTAATCTGTGACAGTTTTTTAAGTAGTGTTCAAAGGTGTAAATTAGCGTTAATGCATGTAGTGTTTTATGTCCATTTTGATGACCAATGAACAGTAAATGGTCTGAATTCATGTTAATCATTACAATTTTTATTCAGTTTGAATGCTTTGGAAGTTCTACGAGCTCTGTTACTATGGACTCTAAATGGGTTTAGATCTGTTGATCAGTTTTACCAGATGAAGGTGGGAGATTGAAGAGAGTGAAGTCTGTACATGAGACTGAAGGAACATGTGTTGGTACAAAAGGCCCAGTGTATCAAATGCAATCTAATGCTTAATCTCTTTTCTTGTATATTTTTTCTAAGCCAAGTTAGTGGATACATTATATGTAAAAAAATATATATATGTGGCAATGACTAGAAAAATATAACAAGAACTCATCTGGTTTTGTTCCCAGGCTTCACTCGCTGAGACTGATAAAATTACTCTAGAAGTTGCTAAGCTCATTAAGGACGACTACCTGCAGCAGAATGGTTATACTCCCTATGACAGGTGAATACAAAGCACTTACATTTAGACAGATTACATTGAAAGTCTTAAAAGAACATGCTGACTCTTGTAATTGTGCATTTTGGATGTTGTATTTTATGATATTACTGTAATTCCCATGAAAACAGGAAAAAGTATTAAACAACATGTGTGTAAATATTCTTTTAGGTTTTGCCCCTTCTACAAAACTGTTGGCATCCTCTCAAACATGATAGCGTTTTATGACATGGCCCGACATGCGGTGGAGTCCACAGCTCAGAGTGACAACAAAATCACCTGGGCCATCATCAGGGAAAACATGGGGGAGATCCTGTACAAGATCAGCTCCATGAAGTTCAAGGTACACATTTGTTTCTCATGTGGCAGGAGATGTTTGGTTTTGTTTTGTTTTTTCTTTGCCATATTGATCATCAACCCCCTTAAAAGATTTTGTGCCTTTCATGTATCGTTCAGGATCCTGTCAAGGATGGTGAAGCAAAGATCAAAGGAGACTACGCCCAACTGTTGGAGGACATGCAGAATGCTTTCCGAACCTTGGAGGAGTGAGTTTCCTACCTCTCAGCTTGTCTCTCAGATATCCAGACCCCAGTGCAGTGCAACATAGTAAAGACTGATTGGCCCATGTTCTGAATGTCTGCCACAGTCACATACGGTAGTCTTTTTTTTTTTCTCCTTGATGTTTACGCCCAAACATTCCATGACCTACACAAATTGTATTTCATTTTGCTGATTTTCGACAAGTTTACTCATAAAAAAAAACCAGTACTGAAATCCCCTTAGGCTGTCTCAGAATATTACTTAAATAAATTCGCCCCAATCAAGTGCTGCACTCGCACTCCACTAGTAGCTGCGAAAAAAGAGTTGATGTCTCTTTCCCCCCGATGTAACAGTGATCAATGCAGATATTTAATCAAATGGGAACATGAATGTGGATAAAGGGACAGAGGCAGTGTATTCAGGGGATGTGAGGAGTTCTTCCACGTCTTACCTCTAAAGTGTGATTGTGATGCTGTGGAATATATACTTGATATTATGTGTAAAATGTGAATGAATGAGATTGTTGGTTTGTGTTGTAAAAGAAGTCTTGCTGTTTTGTCCATGGTACATTATTGTCTCCCTAAATAAATGGGAAATAAATAAAGTAGATGGTTTCAGTAAGATTTTATTTCTCATATTTCTTTCAAAACATAAACCAGCAGTTTGAAATCTTTCAAACTTTCATACACAAATTTTGATAATTGATGTAAGAATCGGTCATTGGTGCAACCTTATAAGCACACCTCAATTCAATAAAGGACTCGTTACTGTAGATGGCGCGCAGATAGATTTAGACATATGTACAGATGAGCGGTGAATTATTAGCCCTCGTATGAAATGTAAAGTTTTGTCAACATTTTCTCCAGTGTTTTTCTTTTTTTTTTTTTTTAAATAAAGCTAATTAATTTTCAACATAGCATTTGCAAACATACTAGTTTTCTTTAAAAAGCATTAATTGGGGTCAGTATTATAGCTGAACATTTTGTCACCACAGCACAAACCAGTGTTGTGTAATGATGTGCTGAGTTTCAAACGGGTTGTCTTCCAGTATAAAAACTTCAGTGAGGGTTTGAGCTGTCACTGAAGAAAACGTAATCGTAACAGTAACCAAAGAAATCAGTTTAGACTTGAGAAAAAGAATTGTTGATGCTCACAAACTAGGAGTTGTATATGTAAAGTTATCAAGTGTCAAGAACTGGAATTAGAAGCATAATCAAGGAATTCAAAGAGAGCCACACAGTATTGAACAAGTGTGACTCTGGAAAGAAAACTAGTGAGAAACGTGTCTAAAGACCCCAGAACAACTTCAAAAACATGTGAATGACTTAGCCAAGTTGGAAATTGTAGTCTTAAAGAAGACAATCACCAGAGCTGTGTGCAGGAATGGATTTCAAGACTACAGACCAAGAAAAACTCAACTTTTGCACATGAGACACCTTCAAGCCAGACTGAAGTTTGCTAAGAACCTGGAGAACAACTATCTATACTGGAAGCAAGTTCTTTGGTCAGATGAGAAGAAACTAGAGCTCTTCGGCCACAGAGATGCTGCTTATATTTTTAGAAAGACGGGAGAAGCATACAACACAAAGAAGGCCACCCCCACAGTGAAAAGCAGTTGTGGGAGTATTATGCTGTGGGAATGCTTCAGTGCATCTGGAAATGGAGGATATGCCAGTTTCAGATGCCACAAATCTGAGTCACTTAGTCTTCCTATACAACAACAACCCAAAACATACGTCGCTCCTGGTGAGGAACTACCTTCGAAAGACCAAAATGAGCATTACTGACTGGCCTGCACAAAGCCCTGACTTGAATCCTGTTGAAAATCTGTGGGGTAAACTGAAGACCATGACAGAAGATCACCAAATCTAGAGGAACTTGAGAGATTTACCAAAGAAGAATTGGCCGGGATCGCTGTTATCCTCTAAAAAGGATCGAGAATTGACTATAAGCATCAGTGGTTTTCCATGATGTTTGCAGCAAACTACCTGCAAAGTAAAACGAAAAACTGGTTCTTCTTTTCTCTTTGTCAGTTGACAAATAAAGAGAATTCATGTTATTCTCTTTGAAAGCATCTTAACTCGATATGTGATGCTTTAGTACATTAGAGCACAAATATACAAAATATACAACAAGGAGATGGACTGATTATTACATTTATTTGTCATACTGCATTATCAGCATCTTAACAGTTTGCTGATGCACAATCTTCAGCATTCACTGTTGGTTCAGTGTATTTCTCTAGCATTAAACCCTCTAAAATAGATTAGAGTCGCTATCTCAGGTTCCGGGCTCCATTAGGACTAATGGAAGCGTAACCCGCTGGAGAAAGAGCAGCAGCTTTTCTCTGCATTGATTCTGTCCATCCAGTGCAGACACTACCAGCCTATAGCTCATAATGCACCTGCCCCTCTTTCTCTTATTCTTGAATTAGTAATGATTCATGGGGCAGTGTGTGTAAAGAGGACATTAACAAAACTGTAAATGGATTTGCTTATGTGCAAGCGAAAGTGGCATGGACTTCCAAGGCATGTCTAACCTTTTGTTTTGCCACGTTGAAAACAGGATAACCATTATTTCATTATTTAAACTGTTCTTAGTAAAGGTCATACTGGCTATTTTGTCTCTGATAAGATACCTTATGGGTCCTAACGTCTGTCTTTCAGGTTCCAGTGTTTCCCCTTTCACTGAGCTGCAACAGCATTTCATTTTAAAGTTGGTTTATGCTGCAGAGTGACCCAGATCAAGCTCAAGTTGGATAAACTGTCCGCAAAAGTGTTCATAAGCATGAAAATGTGTTGTAACAGATGTGAATAAGGACCTTGGCTCCAGGTGAGAAAAGAGAACTTCCCTGCATGGGTCACTGAGCGCACCGTTAGTGTCGGTATCCAGTGTTGTCGCACGAAGAGTGCAATGTGTACAGCGCAGGGCTTAATGAGCGTAAACACAGAGGCCTCCCGTGCGCCTTTGATCCCGCACAAATGCACTCTTCGAGAGTTTTCGGTGGGTGAGCCTCAAGGTCAGGTTGCTTGTGGGAGGAAATATGATGCCAGAGGGTGGGGCTGCCCCGTGGATCATCGCTCAGTCTCTCATCTTTGAGTGCCTGTCATGTTTCTCATACGCACCCTCGTTCGGCTCAGCGTGGATTATCAGGGCTGCTGTTGCAGCTTTTGAATACCTCAACACAGCCTCTCAGCTGTGGGCAGAGGTATGAAAAACTCCTGGCTCTCTCTGGCTCCCTCAACCAAATGAGGGAGGGCCTATATTTGCCAAGCACGCCAGTATTAAAATCTAAAATGATAGCTGATGGAAGCTGTAAGGCAGAAGCAGGCTGAGTATCCCCGAGAACGACTTGTGAACTATTTAATGACATGTGAGAAAGATAGTCTTTGGAAATGTGAGCTGGCAGATGCAACACAATATCAAGCTACTTGTCAGGACTTCAAGTTGCCTTCTGTTGGGACGCTTCCACCATGGGAATGCAAGAAATGAAAACCATCTCACTGCACTGATTCGGTGTCGCCACAGCACCATCGGGGCAGGGACATGCCAATTTCCTTTTTCATCACAAATGACTGATGAGAAACTAGGCTGCGCTTTTCATTTTTTCCCCTTCAGTCACTTGCAGAAGGAGCCTGGTGACAAGGGGTCATCTTCTTAAGCATTTCTCTCCTCATTGTTTGCTGAGGATGGCGTAGCTCTCGTGTAGAAACTGTGAATTTTTTTTGAGCCAACGTAGCTTGCTGTTTTTGTGTTTTTGCATTGGAGACAAAAGGTAAGTCAACACAATAAATCTTTTCTTTGTGAGTGTCCCTTATTAACAGTTAACACCTAGAAGTGTTAGATAGTGCTAATTAAGTAATTTCTGAATAATAATGATCTTTAGCAGACAAACTCAGATTGCAATAACTATTTTTGTCTTTAAAATTATTTTTTTCTGGAAATCCCTGTATAGCTATGTGTCAGATGCCACATAATAAGGTTATAACCACAGATACAAATCAGACTAATGTAATAACTCACACAGACAATAACTCAAAGACATCTCAGAGAGTTTAAGTCTTCGGTTTGCTGTCCCAGATAGTTTGTCCCTGCGGACACCGTGGCCTTGTTTCAACAAATTACATTAGAAGCTCTTGGGGACATAATAAGACTGAGAATACTCTGATTATGAAAATTATATTTTTTTTTAAACAGGGATCTTTTAGAGTTACAAGTACAGGTCATGTACGCATTGCTATAATCAGTTTAATACTGTATTTGTTACTCTAATATATAATCTAAATATAAATGTGCTGTTACAGTATTAATAGCATCAACAAGTATGAACACAAATATGCTCTACGTGCTGTTCTACATTGCCAGGTGTCTTTTCTGGTATGTATATTGAGAGTAAAGAAATAGCCAGAGTACTTGGTCAATAAAGCTGATTCTGATTATATTTTTTGTTTTTACTTATCTTTTGCACTTGTTTATGCATATTTTTTGTAATAGGTGTTTAAAACTTTTTGTAATTTCTTGTATTAAAAATATAATCTTGAAAACGGATCCTAGATTTGTCAGCACTGTTGCTAATTCTCAAAAGCAACCTACTTAGAGCCCAGTAAGCTGGGGTGAGAGCTGTGTGTGTGTGAGCATGTTTGCTTTTCTCTGTGCACTGCAAGTTAATTGTGAGGTCTTTCAAGGCCACGTAAGGAAACAAGGAATCAATAAAGGGTCTTTGTTTGGATAGTTTTTATTGATCATGACACGATTACTTGCTTGTGTTTTTTAAGTCATGTATCATGCAAACGCAGCACGCTGTAACTGTGACATCTGTGGTATGCAATGACCTTTTTTTGTTAAATCTCCATCTTTAGCAGGCCATTATGCAATGGCAGAAGTTAAAGCCACCGGAGCCAGATGATCCTATTTGTTGCTGTGAATGCGATCTCTACCAGTACGGATGTTGCTGGGACTGCGAGGATCTGGATGAAGCCTTTAACAGGTATGAAGGTGTGAAGAAATGGGTGAATAAACTAATAATCAAGGAGTGTGTGCTGTATGTGTAGTACTGTTGTTAGAAAGCTACACAAGTAGCCGTTGTTTGTGGGCACTAAGAAAGGTTGGACACAAACCAGATACAAAGGAATCAGAAAATAGTGTGAGATTTTATGCTATTAGTTTATTGGCTTTCTAAAGAAAGCGAGAGGAGGTGATACCATTCTCATGTCTGTCAATGAAACATGAAACGAATGCCAACAGCTGGATAACAAGCTTAGCTTTAAGACTGGAAATAGTCCACGCACCCACACTGGTTTACTGGCAATGTCTCGCGGCCGAGAAACAGATGAAGTTTCTTTCTTTCTTTTTCTTCTTCTTTGTTTTGCACAGATAAATAAGATCGAGATGAGCCTTAGCTGTGTTGGTAGGGAGTCTACTGACTTCTAATAAAATGAATCAAACTTTCAAAGAGAAAACCAAAGATGCAAATTTACCATATATTTATTGTGATACCTGAATTATTATATTATCATATTAAGTCTTGTAGCAGGATGCTGTTATTTTTTTATTTAGATTTTTGAATTATGTAAATTCTTAATAATTTGCCACAAACAATTAACTTTACTTCCTAAAATGTGCCAAAATTCACAATAAGAGAGAAAAGGAGGGCACATATAATTCTTTCTTTCTTTTTTTATTCCTTTTTTATTTGGCAGGCCCCTCTTATCGGTTAGAGCGGCTCTAAAAGTTTTCTCTGAGATTACCTGAGAATGCAAAAGTCATATCTTATCTTTCCTATTATTCTAGAGTCAAAGCAAACTATCGTGTATGTCTCAAACCTGAAAAAGCCAACTATGAAATCATTTTACCTTGCATGCAGCTCAAGAACTTGAAAATAAATTCCATCAGTGAAAAGGGAAATGATTAGACACATGAATAAACATTTGTCTAATTATAACTCTATGACCACTGTTCTCTGTAGGTGGCTGAAAGTACCATCTAAAAGTACATTTCAGTCTCCTGTATTTGGTGCCATGGCTGAAAATCTGGAAATTTCCCTGATCCCAGCCCTGCTGATGCTGCCTCTCCTGCTGAAGGTTGCAGCGTTGCACTACCTGCTGGGTATAACCGTCCTGACAGCTCTGCCTGGCCTGGTGCTGTGGTACTACTATGCAACGCACCGAAAGAAGAGACGCACCCTCTTCTTCCTCACCCTCGCATTGTACTCTCTGGCCTACATGTATTACCTCTTCATCACAGAGATTTTACCGCGTGGGGACGTCAGCCAGCTGCAGATGTGCACCGTGACCTCTGGGATGATCTTCACTATAGTCTCTCTTATTCACACCAAGAAAGGCCCAGGATTTGTGACTGCTGCCCTTCACAACTCTCACAGTCAGGAGGATAAAAAGGAGTCCACACAAGTAAATAATGGATCTCTCCAATCAGCAGCCTCTCCCTCAGGGACACCAGCAGAGCTGCAAACCCCAAAGGAGGGCCTCGGAGCAAAGTGGAGCAGGTGTCCTTTGTGCAAAATAATGCGACCACCGCGGGCTGGTCATTGTCGAACCTGTGGCTCATGTGTCCAGCGTTTGGACCACCATTGTATCTGGTGGGTCTGACTTCACGTCATGTTTATATATTTCCTTTGTAAGCAAAGCATTGTGTGTTTAATATTCAGTTCAGTTTGGGTTTATTCAGTTGCCTCAAGGTGTTTTATACTGTAAGGTAGAGATTCTCTCGAAAAACCCTCATAATCAAATGGTCCCTGCTGAGTAAGCACTATGCAATGGTGGGAAAGAAAAACTCCCATCTAAGAGAAGGAAACCCCTGGCAAATCGGGCCCGGGGGCACAGACATCTGTCATGACTGGCTGTGGGGGTATTGGAAAACAAGAGAAAAGGGAAAAAAGAGGGTACATGGAGCCCAGAAAAGCCACAGACTAAGGGAAAGATAAAGCAAAAATGACTTTTTCATCCCTGTCGGTACTGTCACTGCACTGTTTTTTGGAATAATGGAGGCAGGTAAGGAATTTATAGAATAACATGATAATAATTAATTACAATAGCCCAGCCAAGAAGTAATGAATGTATGAACTAGTTTTGTGGCATCATTCTGAGACTGTATGGTTCTAATTGTATATATTAATGTGCACATGAAAAAAAGTGTTACTATACATTTGTTTCATATGCGCATTGAAGGACACATCCTGGTCAAAAACAACTTCCAGGCTTCTCATAGTGTTGCTGAAGGCCCTGATAATGCCATCCAGAGTAAGTGTCTGGTTAACATCATGTTTCTAAGATTTATTAGGGCCGAGTGCATAACCTCAGTTTTATCTGAATTTAGTTTTAGAAAATTACAGGACATCCACGTCTTTATGTCTTAAACTATTCGTTTCATTTTTAGGCTGTCTGGCAGCATAATTGGTGGTCATGGTGGCCATTCTGCTGAAATAAACAACGAAATTAAAATGAGCTGTTGAATTTGTGGGTCCACACCTCTTGTGTTGTAATTAGATTAGGGGAACAAACCTGAGCAGAAGCTTGGACCAGGGGGACGTCACATTCACAGCTGATCAGCAGATGAGAACTGAACTCTCTTTTACATTTCCCCACACTAGAAAAAAATAGTTTAATTTTACTGTTAGATCATAATTTAGTAAGCACATGATGGGCCTCATCAGGCCATAAACACATCACATGTCATCAAGTTTTCCATAATCAGTTCCTTTTGACAGATTTTGATAAACGTACTCCAAAACTCATGCAGATGGATTTAGATTTTCCTATTAATATTTTTATTTTGGGGACATCTACAAATTAGATTTTTTTTCTGCCACACTGAAAGTCCTCTTGCAGAGTGCTCTGCCAAGAGGAAAAACGAATGGGCACTCCAAAATGCTCACGCTCACTCACACACATTTACAGAAATCCAGACGGCAGGGAAGACCGGCAGGGAATCTAGAAGGCCTGTACACAGAGAAAAATAACGTTAGGAGGAAACTCTAGGTGATCACAAGGAATACTTTCAAAGGCTAGGCTACACTGACGCTAGGTAATGTGACGATCCAGCGAGGAAGCAGCCTCTCTTGCAATCTTAAGTAGTCTGCCAGGATCAGTGTGAATGAGCCACAGGTGTGTGTTCAGGGCGGGTTCAGAGGCGGGGAATCAAGGTCCAGTTCCGCCCTGGTGGGAGAGGCGAAGACAAAAAACACACACACCACGACCTCTGCAGATCTTGAGAACCATGACACTTCTAAACTAAATAAAATCTGTAAATGTAGCAGTTCTGTCATTTTATATACAGCATGATAGTGAGATACACATGTAACCTGGTCTCTCTGGTGTTGTGTGTCCCTGTTGAGATGTTGTAGGATAAACAGCTGTGTAGGACAGGCAAACCATCGCAGTTTCCTGCTGACCCTCTCTGTGTTTGTGTTGACCTCTCTGTACGGGATCAGTTTGGTGCTTTGCAGCCTCTGTCCTCATCAGTATCTAATGACAGCGCTCTTCTACTGCCCAGGCGTCTACACTCAGTCTAGGTACAGCACTCTATATGTTTTTTTTTTCTGCTGCAGCCTTGAAATTGAATCACTTTAATCATTAAATAATTATTTCAATTCATCAATGACAATTTTAATTACTGTTTTTGGTGTGTTTTTCTTGAATTTGTCCTGCCAGTATGAGAAGAAAAGGTGGGTTATGTTGCAGTAATGATTTGTTCTCTTTACTTTTACAGCACAGCACTTTGCTTTACCTGTGCGTGGTACAGCAGCATTGTCGCAGGTGGACTGCTTTACCTCTTGGTGGCACAAGTTCTCAATATCAGCTTTAACGTGACAGAGCGAGAGGCTCAGCTGGCTCTGAGGAACAAAACGGGCCAGAGCCGCCTGTGGGGACTCGTTGTTGACACAGGAGAGTATTCTCGTGGCTTCTATCAGAACTGGGTTGAGTTCCTCACCATGACAGATGCTTCAGCTTCTCCTCGGTCCAGCCTTACTGACTTGGTCTAGTTGTACTTAATGCACTCGGTGACATCGTGGTAATACACTGTTCGTGCTGCATGCATGAAGAATTCGATTTCTTTTTTTTTTTCAATACATTCCAGGACTGCGGTACTAATAGGAACATGTTTTTAATGACTGTTTAAAGATGCATAGATGTGTTTGGGGTTTGGATTTTTAGCATCATTTTCTGTTGAAGCTTTTGACCTGGACACATGCAAGACAGTCTGTGGATTTTGTGCCTTTTATAAAATTTAATCGAAGACTGCAGACATTATAGCCTGCCTTTTTATACACGTGCAGAAAGTAAGAAGGAAATATGTTGTCTTTATAAAAAAAAATAATCTCACTGCATGCAAGTCAAAAAAATCTAATAAACTTCAAAATGATACAAAAAAAACATTAAATGATTCTGGAGTTCAAATCAAAGAAGATAAACCAGAAACAAAACTGCCGGATTCAAGACTAGATAGCTGTCCTTTACTAATTTAATATCCAGTAGCAACGTGGTTTGGCCCTAAGATGGCATCAGAGGGAAAGCCAAAGAAAAGCAAATGGTCACTTTTGACCCGTTCTGCAGACATGCACTCAGTAAATACTGACACCACTGTACTGGTCAAGTTGGAAATTTAAAAAGAAACAAAGATATATTAAAACAATTAATAAGAAGGCAAGAAAAACGAGTTATAGAAGGATCTGTATCTGTGAGAAGAGGCCTAACTAATACAGAACAAAGAGGCTAGCTTAGCTCAGTGTAGGATGTTAAAATAATGTCTAAAATATGTTGCATGTGATGGTTAGAGCAAGAACAAAGTTCATCACCTTGGACACAATAAAATGTGCGTTTTGTGCCTTTCTTCTCTGCAGTGTGCTGCATTATTGTGTGTGTTTTTTAACGAATGTTTTTTGGTCATAACTGTCTCACGGTGCCTTCAACACTGATCTACAAATCTAAACACACATGCCAATCCTTTCTCTAATTATTCTGTTATAGATAATAATTTATGTAAACAGTTAAATCACTGTTCTCAGTCATATAGTGTGAATTGAAAATGAAACCCCATCTATTCTACTGTAATTTCTAGTCTCAATTTTCATTTCACACTGTTCACTAATTAGCATTATTTCTCATAATCCACATTTTGGGTGGAGCACATCAATAAATATTCTTATACCGATACATTTCTTCCATTTGAAGGCATATTTCATCCCTGTAACTTCAGTGCCAGCACTTTTAGCTTTTCCTCTGCTGCCACCCTCAGGCCACTCTGTGCTTAACATTAACAAAAACACCCAATAACATTAATATTAAGTCTGTTGCTCAGTCAGTTTGTGATGTGTATCGATGTCTTGATTCTAGGTTTAAGCAACCAGTCTTAGCAAGGGGTTAAAGTAAGTTTAAAAATACAGTTTCCTTAAAACAAATAGAAATCAAAGAGGGGGGAATCTAATCACAAAGAAAAATATCTGTGTCCCTTCACAAAAGAGATGAGTTGGTGGGCTGGGGACAGTTGTGGTTGCTTCCTTAATGGCAGTCCTCCCACAGCTACCACTATGGGTTGAGTTGGTATCACACTTCATCCTCAGTCAGCACTGCCTTGAGATTTGGGCCACAGGAAACATGTCTGCACCCAGAAACACAGAGGAATGAAATGTGTTTGCTCCTTTCAGTCGGTTCACAGCATGTTTAAGACATTTGAGGGAAGTCATTATATCACTGGAAGACTTACCAATATTAAACTTATTCAGCCTTAAATGAGGGAACAAAAACACATAAAAGAAGATTGTGTTGGTGTGTCCATCACTAGTGCCAAGTGCACATAAAGAGATGAAAAAGGGGGATAAACAACAGAATTTATGCATCATTTATAGCACTGTACAAAGTGTTAAAGTGAGGCGGAGCAGATGTCGATCAGTTGTCCATCAAAGTCTGGCATTTTAAAAATAGGATAATTTAAAATACAATTTTAAAAAATGTCAGCAAACAAACACAAACTAACGCTTACTCAAGACGACTAAATTAGGACAACTTCTTCAAAGTGAGCATTTCCCAGGGAGAGAAAACAATGTGAGACACCTTCACTCAAAGTAGGCAACATCACCCACTGCCTACAATGCAGGCAACAGCAAATGGAGCTTTTGTATAGCACAGGAGTTACATTAACACCTCCTGCATCTTCCATGTGAAGTATGGGAAACTGCTGCAGCCTTCTCACAACCAAAGCATTCACAAAGTGATTTGTAATCCTTTGGAATGATTTCATCCGGCAGCCAGCACGCTAACTTGCTGGGCTAGTGTTTCCCTAGCAGTCAGAGGTTACCAGGGGGTCACTGACTGGCATCTGGCCTAAATGCAACAGTAATTAGGTCACAAGAAGGTAACCCTTATGTTTTAACCAAATTACCAGAAGGCCACAATCTGTGGGTAGTGATCAAACAAGCAAGTTCACTCTGGACCCAGATAGATGGTGGATGGATGGTGTGACACTTTCATTCTTGTCACATAAAAGGTTGTTAGAAGAACCATTGATTACCTTTTGTAGTGAACAAGAACAGATCAAACTTTGAGATTCTTCATCACTCAACAGCAGTGGAAAAAAGATTCCACAAATGTATTTACTTATTATTGTTAGCTTATCCAGGGAATCATTTCAGGTTACTACACAGGGAAGCGTGATTAGGAATCCAGTTTGCGAGCCATGTGTTTTGTCTGTGCGCGTTACTGTCACATCTGCTGACAGCTACATTTGATTCTGTGGTCTCAGTCGCAGAAAGCGCTGGAGTTTAGCCTTGTTTACCACTGTGGATTCAGTGTACTTTGTTTCAAAACAGATTTTTTTTTGTCTCCACTCAAGCTGAAATTTAATTACTACTTTATTTGCTTTCCAATTCTCTGACATCCCAGCTGATTTGTTATTCAAATTTTTGATTTGTTTTTGTGTGTTTCTCCTGCCAGCTGTTTGCTATATACCTCTCATATGGTTCACTGAATTCTGCCTTTGCATGGTTGTGAAACCATGCATGCAGGTTCATGTGGTGAACCCATCCCCGAACCCGGGTTTTGTCTAGGTGTGTGTGTGTGTGCGCTGGCCTCGAGGGAAGAGGTAATCTCCCTCGGCTATATAAAGGAAGTCAGGCAGAACCTCAACAGCACACTTCCAGATCTTCATCCACACTCTCCCACATCATCATTTCTTCACTCATCATCAGCAGCCATGCATTTACTTCTCACTCTGCTGGGAGCTGTGCTCTCCTCTCTGATGGTTTCTTCTGAAGTCCAACCTCAGGCAGACTTCAATGTACAGGCGGTAAGACAAATGGCTACATTAGTATGTTTTATTTTACAATATTTATTTCTATGATCATTGTATTTATTTAATTCCCTATATCGTTTGTAAGTCCAGCAGCAATGCATGTTCAACTTGCTTATATGGTTTTGGCTTTTCACTTTTTGACTTTTGTGTTTCATGCTGTGATAAATCTTTTGTTCACTGCCTTCATAAACAAAAGCAATGTAGCTGTCTTCAAAAACAAAGAAAAAGAAGAAGGCGCACATGAAGTGTTTTTTTCCCCTCTGTCTTCCAAAGCTTACGCGAGTTATTAAAACACACTTTTTTGTAAAGGTGATCACAGAAAGTGTTTCAAAAACGCTTCAGTAAAGTTTTCAACTCCCGATGCTTTCCTCTTGTGTGCCCACAGATGGCAGGTAAGTGGTACCTGATTGGAATTGCCACTGATGCCCAGTGGTTTGTCAGTCACAGAGCCAGCATGAAGATGGGCACGGCCATGATTACCCCAACTGCTGACGGGGATCTGGAGATGTCATATTCCAGTCTTAGGTAAGTGTGAGGGCATGAGGACAATGGACATTTAAATAAATAGGAATATATATCTATATATCTGTATATAAATATATATGAAAGACAACATGTGAAAGAATTAATGTTTTAGTGATCTCTTTGCAGCCCTAATGGCTCGTGTTGGAGAATGAACAATCTGGCCAAAAAAACTGAGATACCGGGAAAGTTCACATACACAAGTCGGCGTGAGTGCACCCACACACAGAAGCACGATTTAACGATCTAGTACATTTGCCTTTTCTGATTTCATAATTTCATGACCCCTTTTCTGCTGCATTCCCTTTGTCAGGCTGGGGGTATCTCAGTGACTTGCGCATGGTCGACGTGAAGTATGACGAGTATGCCCTGATTCATTCCATCAAAACAAAGGGGAAAGAAAGCTATGTTGTTAACAAACTATATGGTAATATGGCATTTATCTCTGATTCTACACTCTGCTCAATCCATTTTAACCTGTTCTGCTGGTCGGTAAAGCTATACCTGCTGCAGCAGATTTACATCATCTGTTTTCACAGGGCGTGGTGTGGACCTCAGCGCTGAGGTGCAAGAGAAGTTCATTCAGTTCTCCCTGCAAAGCAGCATCCAGCCTGAAAATATTGTCATCCTTCCCAAAAACGGTACTTTTACCTCTGAGATGTTTTATTTAAAATAACTGCAATCAAGAGTGATGTTATGCACTGATCACTTTTCTATTTTCTTTCCCTTTTCCTCTCTATAGAGCAGTGCCCAGCTGCCTAACCTTGTGTCCAGGTGATCATCTCACCGAGGAGCTTTCACTGTTCTGAAAATCTCACGTCGATGACCTGAGACAGTTTGCTTTTTACTTTACTATCTCTGCTCTTTCGTTATTAAGAGAGCTCATAATATCACAAAATTATATTCATCACTTTGCATTTATCCACCTGCTGTTATAACCACAGAATTAAAAAGTATGAAATGGCTAAAATCTTTTGATTTACTCAATTTTTAAACTAATACTTTGAATTACATCCATAACAGCACAGCTAAAACCTTCTTTTTATCAAGTCTTTGTATCTACACACTTTGCAAAGATTTAGATACAAAAAATAATAGAAGAACCTGTGAATTAAAAAAATATAAAATATACATAATCACAGAAGATGACCAAAACAATGCACCAGTGTTCTGAATTTGTATCTACAAACATGCAAGTTTCCTTTTCTACAGGCAAAAGTACGTAAGTAAGTCGAGAAAACAAGGAGTTCAGCCCTTAATTTTAAAACAGCAGCAGCAGATATACTGTTCATCTTTCATTTAGACGAGACAAAGCAACAGGGGTGACAGACTTTGACCATTTTGTCACAGCACACAGAGTTTATTTGAATCCAAACAAAACACCCACCAAGTCCGAAGTAGATCAGATGAACTGTCGACCAGACAGACAGACAAACATACAGATTGCTTGAGCCATTAGTGCGACAAAACTTCATATATTTGTTTTCCAGGATTAAAGATCTATTATAACTGGCACGGAATGCAGGCAGGAGAAATCATTAACAGCAAAACACGTTACTAGTACATCTCCTCAGCCTAGTGGTGTCATGGTCTCAAAGCTGTGCAGTAGATAAAAGAATCTGAGGGATGATACAAAGGTGACCAAAGTTACTGTAACAGTTGGTGAAATGTTAGTATTTGACCACTAGGCGGAGCTCTTGTAATGATAATGTAACTAACTCATTTTATTTTGTATGTTTTATTTTTGTGTTGAGCATGTTAACATTTTCCTTTTTTGCCTACCGGATTGGTGTACAGTTAATTTGATACATGGAAAATAGCCGGTTAATTTTGTAAATATAAGGTAAGGGCAGAGGTCACTTCCTGTTTTGGAAAAAAGTTAAATGACTTGACAAACAATTTTGAGCGAGTTTACAAGAAGTGGAAATACCACATAAACTTATTTAAAAGAATGGTGAAGAGTAAAGACATTGAGTTAATACCTGAAGCTGTAAGTGTTATAGACACTAGTATGACTGACATCTGTAACATTCATGATGAGATCAGAAAAATACAAAGTCCTGATATTGAAATGCGCAGAAGATGTGATGTGTGCATGGCTATCAGTGAAACTGCCAGAGCAAAGGCTCGGTGCCTTTTAGAAGAAGATGGTGATCCAAATAGTATACCCTGGCCTGATTCAGAGTCCGTGTATGACAGCAGTTCATCCAGTGCTTCTTCAAGGATCACATATAAGTCAAGGTCTATCTCTGGGATGTCAAAGCAATCATATCTGGTCACACTACAACAAAGACAAGAAGCTGCAGCTGATGTAGCAGCTACAGAAGAAGTCATTAAAATAATGAAAACACAGCATCAGTGTGAGGAAGAAATCAGAGAACTTGAAGTTGAGGATGCAAGGAAAAGAGCTCAATTTCTAACTGAGAGCACCTCAATAAAGACAAGGTTAGATGAAAAGAGAAAGGAAGTGGAACTTTTGAGAGAATTGCAAAAGCGTAATGCAGCACAAGCAAGATTGAAAGTGTATGCTGAAAGTGTGAATAGTGAGGATGAAGACAAATCTCCTGTTCATTCCCAAGTAAGACAAGATAGTTCCGTCCCGCAACCAAGCTTTCCAAATGTGAACTCGAAACCATTCATCCCATCTCAAGTTAGAGCTCCGCAACAAATTGCACCTCTCCGAGCCTCTGTCCCTCAAACAGCAATTCGTAGTGCAAATGAAACGCCCTCCACTGATCTTGTAAGGATGCTCGCTGAAGCTATCACTGCAAACAGAATCCCAATCCCAGAGCCTCCAGTCTTCACAGGTGATCCACTGCAGTATAATGACTGGAAGTTGTCTTTTCAAACATTAGTTGACCGCAAGAATCTGCCAATTCAAGAAAAGCTATTCTTCCTGAGAAAGTATGTTGGAGGTTCAGCGAAGAAGGCTATTGAAGGACATTTTCTGGTTGGAACAGACACCGCTTATCATGCTGCCTGGGAGATACTCAACGACAGGTTTGGAGATCCCTTTGTGATAGGCAAATCATATCGTGACAAGATTCAGTCATGGCCAAAAATTAACAACAAAGACACTAAAGATCTACGTGAGTTTGCAGATTTTCTAAGCAGTGTTGAGTCAGCCATACCTTATGTTCAAGGTTTACAAGTTTTGCATGACTGCGTGGAAAATCAGAGGATAGCTGCAAAGCTGCCTGATTGGCTAAGTGCACGGTGGAACAGAACGGTGACAGAGTTTCAAGATGAACACAGAATGTTCCCAGATTTTAGTCATTTTGTCAAATTCCTGAATAAAGAAGCAAGAATTGCATGTAATCCTATCACTTCTCTGCCTGCAATAAAGCCGACTGAACAAGACAAGCATGCATTCAAAGACAAGCCCAAAAGAAACTACATGCTGAATGCTAAGTCACTTAGTACAAGCTCTAGTGAAAGGACAAATGTCACATGTCTCTTTTGTAAGAAACCTGGTCACACGCTTCAGAAATGTCGCAAGATAATGGACAAGTCAGTTGAAGAGAGAGTAAAGTTTGTGCAGTCTGAAAAACTGTGCTTTGGTTGCCTCAAGACTGGTCATAACTCTAAGAACTGCACTTCCAGAAGTGTGTGTGACAAATGCCAAAAGCCTCACCCAACTTGTCTACATCAAGACAGAGAGAAAAGAGACAAGGAACAAAGAAAGAATAGCCAACAACAATTTAAGGCTAACCAGGAAACAGAGGTTTCTGAAGTACAAGAGCAAGTATCTAACCAAGTTACATCCAACAGAGTTGTGCAACAAAAGTCAAAAGGTTGTACTTCCTCAGTTGTCCCAGTTTATGTATCCACTGTGGATGAACCAGAGAATGAAAAGTTGGTGTATGTTTTGCTCGATACTCAAAGTGACACCACTTTCATCTTGAAAGACACAGCTCAGTCGCTCAACGCCATGTTAGAGCCAGTTAAACTCAAGATTTCCACTATAACGTCCAAAACAAAAGTTGTTTCAAGCAGCAAGTTAAAGGACTTACAAGTAAGAGGCATTTACTCTGAAACGAGAATCAAACTACCAACAAGCTATACCAGAGACTACATTCCTGCTAACAGATCACATATTCCCACAAACAAAACAGCAGAGAACTGGTCACATTTGAAACATTTATCAAAGGAGATGGCTCCCAAGCTTGATTGTGAAGTTGGACTACTGATCGGATATAACTGTCCTCAAGCATTGCTCCCTCTAGCGGTGGTCAGTGGTGATCGAGACCAGCCATTTGCACAGAAATCTCTGCTTGGCTGGAGCATCATTGGCTACAGTGACTCTGAAGGTGATTGTGAAGATGAAATAGGAGTAAGCCATCGTGTTATTGTTAGACAAGTCTTGCCAGCTGTAGGACCAGCTCACAAGCTCAAAACGGAAGTTCACTTTGTAAGCAGAAACAAAGTCAAAGAAATACTTACTCCAGCCGAGATACTTAATGTGCTAGAGATGGACTTTGTTGAAAAAAGTGTTGAAGAAGAGTCAATGTCACAAGAAGATCTACTGTTTCTAGCCAAAGTAAAAGAAGGCATAAAACAAAGGCAAGATGGCCACTTTGAAATGCCACTACCCTTCAGACAAGAAAGACCTGACTTGCCAAACAACAAACTTTGTGCAGAACACAGACTGAAGTGTTTAGAAAGGCGTCTCAGAAAAGACGAGCGCTACTACAAGGACTACGTGACTTTCATGCAAGACATCATAAAGAGAGGTGACGCAGAGAAAGTGCCAGAGGCTGAGCTAAATAATCAACCAGCATGGTACATTCCTCACCATGGCGTCTACCATCCGCAGAAGCCAAATAAGATCCGCGTCGTCTTTGATTGCTCTGCAAGGTTCCAGAATACATCGCTCAACGAGCATCTCCTGTCAGGACCTGACCTCACAAATACTCTTGTTGGAGTTCTGTGTCGTTTCAGGAAAGGACGTGTAGCTGTCATGTGTGACGTGGAGCGCATGTTTCACCAGTTTCATGTTGCCCCAAAAGATCAAGATTACCTCCGATTCCTATGGTGGGAGGATGGTAACATGGAAAAGTCCACATCAGTGTTTCGCATGAGAGTCCACTTGTTTGGTGCAGCATCTTCACCAGGATGCGCAAACTTTGGATTCAAGCATGTCGCTGCGCAAGGTGAAAATAAGTTCAGTGAAGCCACGGTGAAGTTCATGCAACGCAACTTCTACGTGGACGACGGTTTGGTGAGTGTGGATTCAGTGCAAGAAGCTATTCAACTTGTAAAGGAAGCTAGAGAACTGTGTGCCACCGGTAAGCTGCACCTGCACAAGTTCATTAGCAACAGCAAGGAAGTGATTGCTGCTATCCCAAAGGAAGAATGTGTAGCAGGAGCAACTGATCTGGATCTGGCACTAGGAGAGCCAAAGATAGAAAGAGCCTTAGGGGTCCAATGGTGTGTAAGCTCAGACACCTTTCAATTCAGGGTGATTGTAAAGAATAACCCCTTCACTAGAAGAGGAGTGCTCTCGACAGTGGCCTCAATATTCGACCCACTTGGATTCGTCGCTCCGTTCATTTTAGTTGGTAAGAAACTCCTCCAAAGAATGTGTCAGGAAAAGCTGGACTGGGACGAGCCGCTTCCAGAAGATCTCAAGCCTCAATGGGAAGCTTGGCTCAGAGACCTCCAGAACCTGTCCTCCATAAAGATATCACGTTGTTATGTCCCATCAACATCTGACCAAGTGAAGCAGTATGAGTTACACAGCTTTTCTGATGCCAGTGTAACCGGTTATGGTGTGTGTTCATACTTGAGAACCGTGACCAAGTTTGGAGAAGTACAGTGCACTCTTGTGATGGGTAAAGCAAGAGTCGCTCCTACTAAAGTGACAACCATCCCAAGATTGGAGCTTTCTGCGGCTGTAGTAGCTACGAGAGCAGCTGACTTTCTAAAGAGAGAATTGGAGATCCAAAATATTCAGGTG